ACGCGCGATTGGCAAGAGCCACAATTCGTCCTGGGAGAACTGAACTGAACTGAACTGATCCATGTCCCTTGTTCACCGATGAGGTGAAAGCAGACGAGCTTTTTCTTTTCCCTCTCAGCAAGGACGCCGTATTGAAGGCAATTCGCAGTGTTGGGTGCACACCTTGTAAGCATTCTTCCAGAAGAATCTGGACGCTCGATTGGCCGTGGCCATTATCAGTCCTGTGCAACCTGACCTGACCTGACTTCAAGACCACGTTTCGGACGCGCCTGAAGATTGTTTTTGAAATTATGAATGCACCTGCTTCTTTCGAGCCTTTTTTGTTAGCTGACGGAGAAAAAAAGTAAGTAGTCGCCTAAATAAGTGAGATGCAAAAGGATATCTTTTGAGAAGGATACACAGGTCCCAAATGCTGCGATTTTCACTCTTAACAGAGAAGATCACACTGTCGGCAATATGATTACGTGGTGAGTCAGTGTTTGTCCTGTTTCCTTCATTTTGAGTGCAATCAACATTTAGGAGATGAAGAACAGGGTTGGTTATGATTGTTATATGCTTACATGGTCTAATCGGCGTTTGAGAGAAAATGACCGGATTTGGCTACAGTCAACCAAATATGTTCCACTGGAATGAGCACCAATGCCGGAAACGTCGTAGAACGTATGAATATAAAATCCTTCTACGAGCTTTATTTGAAGTACGTGAAGCGGTTTTTTGAAAAAGTTTGACCGATTGTTTCGGGTATGCGGGAAGTTGGATCTGTACGCCTTACGTAGGACAGGACAGGTCACAGGAATTGCGGCAAAGCCAGATGCAGTCCGGTTTCCTGTTCCAAGTGTTTCCAAGGTTATACCTACAAAAGAATTACACGAGCCCATGGGTGACCGAACGATATCACAGATAGTTTCAGGGACAATGTGACAGTTGACATCCCTCCTGCTCAGGGGACGCGTAAACGGAATGAACTGTAAGGATGGAAGATTATTTGTCCTGAGAAAGCGGGATATGGAAGGGGAACGGGTACCTCGGAAATGAAAGAGATTGAAGGGTAAGATGATGTTACAAGGGAACTGAATGTATGGCTGCTAGCGTAACCCTTTTCATGCTGTTTCTAAAGACACTCGGGAAAGTGTCCCAAGATGTGTCAAGCATCTTTTGCAGGGCATGCGCACTGCCACAGTTGACTATCTCATTTGTCAGCTTGTTCCAGCTGTTGATGGTACGCAACGAGAAGAAGTTGGCCCTGATCGTTTTGTATACCTTTGGTTTCTTCAGTTTGAGGCTGTGACCACGCCTTGTCTGGTCCCCGTCTAACTCCAAGAGATGTCTGGTACCTTGCGAATAAACCTTCAGGATTCTGAAGGTTTCGATTGAGTCGCTTCTAATTCCCCGACGCTCGAGGGAAAACAGACCCAATGCTCGCAGCCTTTCAGTGTAAATCAGTCTCCTTAGGAGGGGGAGCATCCACGTAAAGCGTCATTGAACCTTCTCCAGGACCAGTTTATCCCGCACTAATACCGGTGCCCACGCTTGGACACAGTACTCCAAGTGGGGTCGTACAAATGTTTTGTACAAGGGTACCTATGGGTCTCCAGAGGATACCGTTCTACACAGCCTATACAGTGCTGAATCTGCTCTGTGAGCTGCCATAGAGCACTGACGAAAGGATGAGACCGTGGAATTTATCGTGACCCCAAGATCCTTCACCTCGGTGCTTAGTTCGATTGCTTCGCCCTCAGGTGCCTCCAGGTACTGAAGATTACCCATCGGATCTCCCGTGCGCAAGAGCTTGCACTTGCTACTGTTCAGAGGCAGGCTTTATTCCTTAGTCCATGCGTGTAACCTGTTCAGGTCACTTTGCATCCCTTCGTTTTCAGGAGAGGCTAGAATTTTGCAATTATCGGCAAACAAGAACAGCGGGTTTGCTACACACTGTGCCAAATCGTTGATGAAGACCAAGAACAGCAACGGTCCAAGGACGGAACCTAGAGACACTTCAGTGTGTAATTGACCTCCCTCAGAAAGCCTGCCGTCTACCCTGACTTGGAAGGTGCGCTCGCCGACACTTCATCTGTGGTGCGTATTCGATTGCAGATGTTTACGTAGTTTGGCACGGGCTGGATGAAATGAGCTTGTAAGCAACTCTTAGGTAAGGGGTCGCGTATTTGTTAATGATACGATGAAGAATTCGTCCCATCGAATTCAGATTAGTCGTCTTCGCTGGCTAGGACGCGTATTGCGCATGCCCAGCCATTGTCTGCCGCACCGCGCTTTATTCGCAGTTGCGGTTCCAGGTTGGAAAAAACCGCGTGGAGGTCAACAGATGACGTGTAAGCGATGCATGAAGAAATGACCAGAGCAATTCGGTAGAATCAGTGTCTCCCGTCTTCCAGGTTGGGGTCCGAGAGACTGCAACTGGCTGGTTGGAGACACTGAAGGACGACGACTAACCGACAGCAGTGGCGTTCTTATTGTCATTTATTATCAAATCAGAATGCTTGAAAAGGTTCTTTTTACTTGCCTCCCTCCAATTCGGCCCAGTCCCTCTCCGTCTTGTGCTTTATCACTTGATTTGTGTATATTGTGAGATTGGAGGCGATCATTGAAGTTCTCTTCGCTGTACGATGATGGATGATGATGATGCGTCTGCCCGGGTAGCAAAATTTGTCTACTTCCTTCACCACTTTCCCAGCCAGAGTGAGAATGGGTGCTGAACCAATTTTGGAGCAATATTTTGCACTTTGAAGGCGCAAAACGCATACCGAATATGTATACACTAGCACTCAAACTATCCAGAAAAACTTGCAACTTACCTGGATCTTCACTTAGTAGTAGCACAATATCGTTTGCATACCCTAGATCAGACAGTCTGCCACCCAAAAGTAAATCAGTACCGCTATCCTCGCACCAGGATAGGGTTTCAAGAATTGAATCTATCACGAAGTTTATAGAAACAAAGAGAGAGGGCAATCCTGTC